CATCTCAAAATGCAGCTAGGTACCTGTTGCTCTTGTTTTTTGTTACAATAAAGCAGGTGAGTGCTGGGTGCTTCTAATCACCTGTTATGTTCAACCAAGCCGTGTGTCTGTCATACAAATGTCACAAGACAGAAGGTGAGAGCCAAGTATTGGAGATGGAATGAAATTTGAGAAAAGGTACATATCGTTACCTATTGCTGTAGTAGTGGTAAGGGACAGGGTGATTCTAAAAGGCTTGCCTTATACCATATGCTCAATACATGGTAAATATATACATGAATGTATGAATGCCTCACTGGTGACTATGTAATATATTTAGCTAGAAAGAAACTTAAAAGAAATACCCATACTTAGAAATGGAAAAATTAAAGGCTGAAAAACATGATTACCCTTATGTCACACTGAGACAGAAATACAGTTTATAATCCTGGTTACCAGTGTATTACCCCATCTAATGCAACACAGGATAAAGTAACTGTCTCCTCATTATCAATAACTAACATGGATGATTTTCACATCCTGAATATGACAGACTAGTCTCATTTAGTGTTCTAACCTAAGGAAGCTTTAAAGATGATTTAATATAGGCTCTTTCATAGAGGAGAAAAATACACAAAGTGTTCAATGACTTGTCAAAGTTCTGCCAGCTAGAGAATCAACACTCAGACTCAGACCATCTGTAGCCTCACATGCTGGGCACATTCCATATTATACTGAATAAGTATAATATTAAGTGTACTTGAAGCTGATTTGGTTTTGACATCTTGACATGGCATATAACCCTCCAATCAGGGGCAACAGGAAATATTTATTTATGTACAGGTACATGGGAAATCAATTTCCATTCAGCTTTTAAAAAATCATTACAAATAAAAAGACTTTGTTAAATACATTCATTCTTTACACACAAAATACATTCTTTACACTTTTACTCTCATGGTGAATTCTTAATAATAAAAACTTAAACTATAATACTCTGTAGTTCTGGCAATTTCTTGATCATTTTCCCAAGAAGGAAGATCCAAATGTTGAGATAGTTGATAAATAAGAAACCATACCTTTAAAATGTTTCTTCATTGATCATACAAGGTTTAATAAATGCCCTCTTCAGCATGATTGGTAGCTGTCTTTAAAGGAATGCTGAACACTTTGAAATTCTCAGTGATGACAATGGAATTTCTACAAAGACTGAAGTTGATAACCACATCGAAATGACATCCTCACACAAAGATTCTTACAAACATACCTGACAGCTAGGCATTATTCAGGGATCCAGTTAACCAATTTAACCAAGATCTTAAGTTTCATTCTCCAAGCAGGACTTAAGAGATTCTATTTAAATAAATATAAATTGCTTGATTTGTTAGTCTAATAGTTTTTGAGATATGTAAGGAGCCATGTGACCATGTACAAAGATTACATGAATGTTCTAGCAGCATTACTCATACTAACCAGAAAGCAGAAACAATCTAAATGTCCAAAATGTAATTAATTCAAATGAAATAAACACACACACACACACACACACACACACACACACACACACACACACACACCAGAATATTACTTAGCCATAAAAAGAACGTACTGACTCATGCTACAATAGATGAGCCTTGAAAACTTTAACAGAAGCCAGGTACAAGAGGCCACACATTGTATGATTATAGCATTTGAAAGGCGACTCCACAAAGACAGAAAGCAAATGGATCCTTGCCAGATGCTGGGAAAGGAGGAGGTTTGGCTGCTAATGGATACAGAGCCTTTTGGGAATGACATGTTCTGAAACTAGACAGTAGTGACAATGTACAATATAATGAGTATACTAAAAACACTGAATTGTATACTTCAAAGGGGTGAGTTACTGTGTGTGAATCTTTAAAAGATACAATTTAACTTTGAAATGTGTTGTTTGGGTTCCTGGTTCCTCTTTGTCCCCTTTTTGAAGCTGGATTGAGTTTTTTATAAATCTTTTTTCTACACAATGTATTTAACTAATTGTACTTGGGTTGCCAGTGGCTTAGATTTCTAATGGCCTTTTTGTTAGGTAAAAATGATAGTATGTGGACACATAATATATATTGTACTGTTAACATTTGCATATTGACATTTAAGACCAAGAACTATACTTATATTAAAGTAGATTATCAGGATTTATATAGTGACTATATATATGTATGGAGTTTAATGATTAAACTATGCATAAAAGCAGTAGCCATCTATTAGGAATTGAGTTCATAAAACTCACTGATCAACCTCTTTGCTGAAACTGTATATGTAAACTGTTTTAATGGAGAGATAAGAAAATGAAGAAAAGCAAGGATTTTCTAAGTCTTTACAAAGCAGCTTCTGTAAATATTTTAACTAGCTGCTGAGATCTCCAAAACTAAATATTTTGCATTTTATTTCATCCCTATGCTAAAAGTCATGCATTAAAGTGTGTGCAATAATATACAGGGCATACTTTTGTTCAAATTCTTGCCTTAGTTCTTCATTGAAATTTTTAGCAGAATTTTTTTTTTCTGAAAATAGAGATTTTCCTCATACACTAGTTAAGACAGCTTTGTGTATCTTGTTTACACACCATCAAGAGAGCTCCAACCATCTGGTATGCCTAGATGGACACTCCAATGAGTAGAAGTTAGAAGCCAGCATCCACTCATTTGAAATGCTTTATATCAGGGACCTGAAAGTCCCAGCCAGTCCTTAAAGGATAAAATTACTGTAAAAAAATTTGATTGTGTAAATCAACTGACATTCATTGTCAAACAGTCTACAAGAAAAGTTCCACTAGCATTGTGTAATTGTATAGAACATGAGAATATTTATTCCTAATGATTACATTCCAGAAGCAGTAAGCTTAGCAGCTGTTTTTCAGAGGGCTTTATCAAGTTTATTATTATTATTTTATCCAGGCATAACTGTGTAATCTTAAACAAGAGCTATGTGCCATTCAACAACTAGTGAATTATTCTAACCAAACAGATTCTTTTCTTACTCTATATATGAATTTTTGCTCTGTTGGGAGATTAATACCCCAATTTTTATTTCAAAAGGTAGCACACACATAGAAAGGGGGATAAAAACATTTTGGAGTATTAGTTATACATTCATCAAGTAATGTCATATATGGAATTAAATTCTAAAAGCAGATCACATAACTGGGATTTATGCTTCCATTTTTGCCTACAGATGGAAAGAAGAGCCACAGAAACAGAATGACTCTTCCTTGGTCATCCACTATACATTATTAGTAAAGGGAGAAATGCATGAGTAATTGAAGAGCTAATCAACAGTTTGATTATCTAAATCTGATCCCAGTAAGAAACTGAGAGTTAATAAGTACCCTGATGTTCACCAAGAGGACAACAATAACCACCTCAACATGCTTTTGTGACTTAGTTTTAAAACACAGACAAAGGGCAATAATAGACAGCATATGTGACCCCTTAAAGATAACAACCAAGCCATTTTCTTCCCATGGAGAATGAGATCAAGAAGAGGTTTGCATTGCACTGTGAGGTATTTCAGTTCGAAGAGAGTTTCCTGATAATAAGGAATTTACAACCCTGGAATCGTCTGTTGAGACAGAATGTCTCTCAAGATGTATGGAAAGAAACATGGGTGACTGACATCTAAAAGCAAAGTGAATCAGAGATTTCCTTGTAGAAATGGAATTCTTTCTTTGTAACAGGCTGCCCCAAACCATTTCTTAAAATCTTGAAATGGAGTCTCCCTATGTGGACCTAGCTCCCACCTCAGCTTCCCAAGTACCTGGGACACATGTCACTGTTCCTACTTCCAAAGTCTAAAAGAGAGAGAGAGAGACAGAGAGAGAGAGAGAGAGAGAGAGAGAGAGAGAGAGAGAGACCAACAGACAAAATTCCTAATATTTGTGTTCTTCCTATTTGCTGAGCAACTTATTTTACATTTATCTCATCTAATTTCCAGCTTATTTCTAACGCCCACCTCATAGATGATAAAACTCTTGTTCAAACTTTGCCTAAAGCCTCCACTTTTATACCTCTCCCTATACATACTCTAGAGTCACCACTGACCAAAAATTTCATCAAAATATGGCTCAGCATCTGCCATTCTGCTTTAAACCATCGGGAAAGTTAAAAAATTAAAAAGTTAACTAATATACCTGATGAGGCCAAAAGAAAAACTGGCAACCATCCTTGGTCTTCCAATTTTTTATCCAAGGAGTCAAGTATGTTTCTCCCCACACTGATTCAAGCACAAAAGTTTCCTTTGCTAAAGCCTAAGGAAGAGCCACCTGTCAGATTAGAAAGGGTGCCAGCTATTTTACAAATTCAAGCTTATAAATTTTAATTATAAAAAATGCTTTTAGTTGTTTTATTTTCAAGTTAAAGGCCTGTTTTGTTACTTTGTACATGAAGCAAATTGGCCTTCACCCTTTCAAAGTTATTTTCCCCAGAATCAGGGAAACCTATCAAATGTCATTTGCGATTTCCTCAAGCAGACCTTCAAGATGGATTTCTGCTGTGACCCTCCTGTCCTCCTCCTCCTGGGTGACTCTGTAATGGAGGAGTCTCCTATACTAAAACATTTCCAAAACCCTGAAGAGAATACATTGTTTATTAAGTCAAATGAGATGAATAACTTCTATGATTTCACATAACCAGGGCCTAAAAGATACTTCTTCCATTTTTAACATGGAAACCAGTTTAATTTCTACAGGGACTGACAAGGCATTTCTAGTTTTGGACTTAATGGCAGATCAGTCTCTTGACCTAAGGACATATGGCCAACCTCCTCCATAGAGAATAGTGAATTTGTAACAGAACAAAAGCCTTTTATTTTTAAAATATCATTAGCTATTGATCAACATATATTTAATTGAGCATAAGAAAAGGTACTGCAGCTTAGAAATTTGAGCATCTGGTTCAATCTCAGTCAACAATGTAGGTCATCTTCGCATTGTCTTTACACAGTTTGTATCGACCCTTTGCTTGACACAAAGGTAGCTGCTACGGGGGTTTTTTTTTTTTTTTTTTTTTTTTTTTTTTTTGAGAAATTCTCCATGACACAGAGCCCAGTCTGTGGCTCTGTGGCTTCCATGTGGTAGGCTTCATTCTACCTCTCTGAACTATGAGGAATAGCTTCTATTAATTCCTCTCTCTCTGCCACAGCCCACAAAATTCTTTCAGATAATTCTCAAATGTCTTAACTTTTAAATTCATTTACCAGCTAGTTATTCTTCCATTTGTTTTTAATTTCAAATATCATCAAGCAAGCCATGATGGATCACATCCATACCCCCAGTAAAACCAAGGCACGAGAATGAGTTCAAAGCCAGCCTGAACTACATTGTGATTTCTATGACAGACTGATTTCTGGAGCTGTAGACTGAGATCTGGTCTCAAAAATAAAAAAGACAAAATGTAAAAAGCAGTGCCTCTCAGGAATAATGATAACATGAGTATCCTGGGATTTAAAGATGAAATGCCAGCTACATTATGCAACATTAATGACTTATCTGAAGGGATAATATCCTAAACCAATATTGCCTGCATGTAGAGTATAAGGGAAGGCAGTGTTCCTTTAAAACATATATAAACTCAAGCCACAGGAACAGTAAACCCAGAAAATATACCTTCATTTAGTGTTTGACAATAACTGCTCATGTGGAATACATTTTTTCAGAAGGATGAGACATGAAACATACCTGTCAAGACCATGGCTGAAGGAAGAAAGTAAGCCATTGCAGTTAAAAAAAATTCTTAAAAAAAAAAATGAAAACAAAGAAACGTCCAAATCTACAACTTCTTCCAGAAGCTAATGGGAAGGTGAACCTTAGTGTGTATGTCCATGAGATGCACAGCATTCTGTAGGAATCGAACGTTCCCCTATCTTTAAGGCCACTGGTATGATACATGGGGGGGGGGGCGGGGGTTGTACAGAACAAGTTCAAAATCATTTGCAAATTTTTTTTCTTTCAACTGAAAGTTGATGCTGTGAGATATCTCAAAGAAAAGACTGGCAAATCCTTGATCTAACACTGGAAGGCACTCAGGTCCTTCCAAGGTATATGTTCATGAACAGAAGATAAAGACTCTGCTTCCTCCCTCCATCAAGCTATCACTTGGAATCATACTAGTCCAAGCATCCGTGTTTTGGTCAGTGGTTTCTTAATAATTCACAATCAGAACTTAACGTAGTGTCATGTTAATACATTTGTTTCATTTTTAGTTATTGTCTTGCCACTTAAAGAAAGATGCTGGCATCAAAAATGACTAAAATATGGGGCAGAAATAAAAGCCAGAAAAAGCCAATGGTATAATTTAGAAGTCTACACACACACACACACACACACACACACACAAAATAACTGGCTCTATATAATTAAATATTAATGTAATCCAACAGATCTAATAAAAAGAATACAAAGGAACACAGTTTTGTGCAGGAAAAGGAGAAACTACTAAGTTCTTTGAGGATACCATCTATACAAAGTCATACCAGAAAATTATATGATTCCATAGATCATTTCCAAGCGTGACTCTAGAACCTGAAGATGTCTTTTAATTGGAAGCTACAGAAGATTGCCATATATTTAATAATTTTATTAAAAGAAAAATAATCACATCACAAATAGAAAAAGAGATGGTCTTGTCAGGATAAATCTTGTTTTGTTTTTTTTCTCACCAGTAAATAGTTTTATGTAAAAGGGGCTTATCAGAGCAGATATTGTCTATCCAATAAAAATTATTAGTAAAATAATATTTATATCCTGGCCTAGATTAAGAGAATTCTTTAAGGACTTTCATTTTAAAAAACAAATAAACAAACAAAACTTACGGGTAATGAATCGTTTAATCAACTGGTATTTATTGCACCTATATTTTCAAGGATTGTTCTCAAATTTGAGATACGTCACTGGACAAATATTCAAAAGGCCTAATCTGAAATTCACAGAACTATGGAATGTAAGGGACTACCAGCTTCTCAGGTGTCCACACTAATGGGCCAAGGATTGATGCCTATGGTCTATTGAATGTCTCAGAGACCCAGGGGAAGAGGGACCTGGAGTAGAGCTCCTAAGCTGCTGCTTAACCCAGAGGGACACATGGAGGTGCTGAAAGCCCAAGGAATAAGAATAACATAAAATAAATATGACCCCAGAAGCTGTTATTCTGGAACTAAATTAGTCCATTCTAACAAAGCCCTTAAAGTTCACAAAGCAAGGTTATTTTTAACACAGCTGTGAGACAAGGCTGAGTCATCATATGCTGGGGAGATCAGGACTTTGTGGTAAAGAAAAGTAATAAATTTAAATTTAGGGACATTCTCTAAGCAGAAAGATAAATTCTTCTGTAACCTTGATTAGTTATCTTTTGATGCCTTTGGTTGCTGGCTTAATAGGGAAGTCAAGGTAATTATAAACGATTTTGATTTTCAATTAAAGTGATTTTTCTCCCCTTCCTGTATAACAAAAGGCAGTTCAAACTTTTAAGAAGCCTGTCACTTTCTTATAGAATCAAGAAAAGCATAGTGAGTCAATTGCAATACCAATGATGCGTAATAATACACACAGTTCCATGTGAAGGAGATGGGACATTATAGAATCTGCTAGAGAAACTCTAGAAATGTATTATCAATATCCTGCTGTGTTGACTCACACTGCTTTACAATTCAGTAGCTTCCAAGAGTCAGGTCCAAGACTGTCACCATCAATACCAACAGCAGAATAACACATCATATCCTCATTCAGTGATTATCACTCGGTGATGTATGCTAGACAGCAAGCCACAGAAACACCTGACAGCACCCACGGCATACAGATTTAATTACTGTCGCAATCTGCATTCATGAGAGGAACAAATTGGAAGGTATCAAATCATGGCACTGAAGAAACAGGAACTCAGCAGCACATCTTCCAATTTGAAACCTGTTTTTAAATTAGCTAAGTAAAGGCATATATACCTCCCTTGGATTGGAGATTTGCAGTAACACATGCATACCAGGATGGGAAGGAAAGCAAAGAAAAGGGAGTAGGAAAAGGAAAGCTGTAAGGTGAGACCAGGAGAAAGAAAAGATAAGAGAAAAGAAAGTATGGTCATGAATCTGAGATCAACATTAATATAAGATGGTTAATGACAACTCGTAGGCCTTTCCTAAGTTTATTGAAGATACAAAAATTATGTGAAACTTTTCATCCGTTGCTATTCTCACTTGTCATACTAAAAACGTCTACAAAATCCTAAGCCTTGGTCTATCCAAGGATAGTTCCAGAAAGGAAAAGGTGTGACTTGTTATCAAGGACTGTGCTCTGTCTGGAACCCTGCTCTGCAGTCAGTCCATATTCCACAGTATTTTGGTCATATCTGCTCTGTTTTCTCATGCTACTCAAAATGTCTTACAATGAATCTTTCTATATTATAATGTCATCATCCATTATATTTTTCCCCATTTTTCTTCAGACTTTGATTTTACTTAAGGGCAGGAAAGGTTTGAAACAAGAGAAGAAAGTTAAGAAATTTCAAGGAGAATATGAAAAAAAAAAAAAGGATTCTCATGTCCAAACCCATCCTAGAAAAGGTGGTAATGAAGCTTTGAAAAAGACTGCTGATTCATGGATGTCCCCCATTTTCATTTTATTTCTAGGTAATACATCTAAGGGTATCAGTGTAGCAAAACGTTTGGTCTGTGAAATATCATAATCATTAGCACCAAAAGGAGTAATGGAGCTTGTATATGTTATTAAACAATAATTTTTTACTGTTGGTCATGAGAAGAGTTTTCGTTTTTACATCCCAAAGGTTTTTGAAAGTGCTTGTTGTGGACAAAAGAAATAACACTTTTCAAAATCTCCATGGGGTTATCAATAAGTACCACAGAGACAGTATTGGCCTTTCCAGTTTTGGTTTACCTTGTAGACAAGAAAACCATGGGCACCAGATTACCACTTAAGCCTAAAGAACAGCCCCACATGCACCCGCTGACACACAGGAGGGATTCCTACAGTACACAATCCCCTGCACTGTGTTCAGGAATGCACTTTTTACTTGCTTTTTTAAAAACAAAAGCAACATGCTCTGCAGATCATGGAGCACGTAGTGCAATTTTCTCCTTGCTCCAATGCCAGATTGCAAAAGGATGAAACCATTCATTATGTGTTCTGCTAATGCTGGCCTGCAGTCGAGGCCCTTGGCCTGCATGCTTTGTAAGCTCTGGAGCCTACAGGAGTCAGAAGGTCCAAGAGCGGGAGCCATAGTCATTGCCAGATTCCCTAGCAACATACGGCCCACCAAGGCAACTACTGATTCCCTTTGATTCTCTTTGCCTCAGCCTTTAGTTGAAATTACAACAAGTCAAATAGCTGATGCTTTTCCCCTCTCCGGGTAAGGGTGAAGATACATTGTTCACCAGTGTGTTCTGTCTTGCTTCACTGATGAGTCGGCATGCTAAGTCAAGGAAGAGTTTCTCCACATTATCAGATTCCTTGGCTGATGTCTCCAGGTAATACATGTCCTGAGCCTCTGAGAATTCCTCTGCCCTCTGCTGGGAGACCTCTCTCCTTTCAGCCAGGTCAATCTTGTTGCCTGTAACAATGGTAAATTAGAGAAAGAATCGTCATTTGACTTTGTTTAGGCAGAGAAGCATTGAGATTCAATTCCAGACCTGAAGTCAATGGGCAGATTTGACGGATGGGCAGGTGAAGCAAAGTAAATGTGACCATGCTTGCAGGAATGTTTATGCTAAAATACCAATGCCATTTGTAATGACAAAGACCAGAAACAATGCAAATTGCTTGCATAAAGTGCAATGTATGTATACAAGTATTGAACCCAGCAAAGAAAAAAAGCCAAGTAGAGAGCATAGGGGCAGAAACAGATTTGACTTTAGAAGCTTACATTTTACATAATTGAACAATACAATTCTGTAATTAGTACAAAATTAAAATTTAAAAGCAACCTGTAAATATTAAACATGTTTGTCATATAGTGACATAGGTACAAACAACTATTTCAAGTAAATTTAAAACATGATTTCACCCTGCATCCTTAGGTGTATATACACTAAGGACAAAACGGAGTTTAAGGACAAAGTCTTGAGTTCACTCAGTAATCATCTTGTGATGGCAGCCCTGCTATTAGGATTAGGAGACTGTTATGTGTGTATTAAGGGATAAAACAAGTCATTAATTATGCTGATGTCACATGGAACTGGTATTTTTGACATGAGAAAGATGAAATACAGCTATGAGATTAATGATATTAAGTAAAAATTTTGCAGTTTTAAATTCTAGAGCTAAGTAAGTACCTGTAAGAATAATTCATGGTATATTTTATCTTTTAAAAGTTTTCTACTCCTTTTTCTAGGTAGGCTGACAGTCAACTATTCTACCTGGTAACACTGCTTAAATGAGCCAATTGATAAATTATTCTGTGTATGAATGATAAATACCTAATAGAATGCCATAACATTCCTGACTGCTGATTCTCCATTGAAAAACTCCCATAAGTTATGTTCATAGAGCTGATCCTATGGGACACAGAGACTTCTTAGCCAGTGCATCTCTTGCACTTGAAGCAAGTGAACTTTGTCTCCTGATTCCTGAGTTGCCAAAGCCTGACAAGAGAACTATGATACCCAATGCCAACCTGCCCTCGAGTCAGGTGAACGGTCCTGTATCTTTCTAAGTAAACACTTAGAAAGATTTCACATGTGGCTTAAGATTGGCCTGTGAGTCAGAACACAACTTGTTGAACCTAGTAAGACAACACAATTTACCATATGCATGCATACATGTTAACTTCCAATAAGAAAAAGATTAGAAATGGTGACCTACAAGTAAGGACGATCCAATACTGTGGTTGGGGTTTCTAACTATAAACTTCCCATTAGAAAGAAATACCACCTCTTAAAGATGTGGTCACTTCTAGGTCTGTGGCATGAAATGACATGCCTGAGAATTTGTCATATCAGAGATCAGCAAAATTGTCTTAAAGACTCCTGGAGTTATGTGAAAAGGACTTAGGGGCTCATTTGAAGAAGCTTCCATTGTCAATGATGGAACAATGGGGATATGGGTGGTAATAACTGCACAGGATATGCTGAAGGTACATTTAAGTTCAGAAATCCACAGCATATTAAAAATACAAGTGAGCCAGGCATTGGTGGCACACGCCTTTAATCCAGCACTCGGGAGGCAGAGGCAGGCAGATCTCCGTGAGTTCGAGGCCAGCCTGGTCTCTAGAGCGAGTGCCAGGATAGGTTCCAAAGCTATAGAGAAACCCTGTTTCGAAAAACAAAAAACAAAAAAACAAAACAAAACAAAAAAGTGAATTTCAGTGGTTGTATTTGGAAGATCCTAGGAAAACAACTCATTACATTGGAAACCACTGAACAAAGGGAATAAAACGCCAGCCACAGTGATTCACATCTTTAATCCTGGCACTTGTGAAGCAGAGGCAGGCAGATCTCTGTGAGTTTGAGGCCAGTATGGACTACATAATGAGTTCCAGAACAGCCAGAGCACATCCGGGGAGGGGCAAGTGGGGGGGTGGCACTGATCCTTCTTCTAACTCCCTTCAAGTCTTCCTTTATCTTCCTTATTTAAAATGTCCAACAGTAAGGTTTTGACAGACTCAAGTTCTCAAGGGTTTCCCATGGAATGCAAGGACAGTTCAGAGCCACAGGCTTTCAAATGCTTCATAGCCAAAGTCTTCTTAGGTATGGGGGTTTTCAGGACTGGGCCTGAGCACCAGCTCTAAAGGGGCAGCTACTTCACCAGGAGCCAAGAGGAAAAATAGAGAGGATAACTACAGAGTGTGGGGAATTGACTTTACATTCTGTTCAATGTCAGACAGAATTTCTCAGCATCATTTTCCTCATCTAAAAATTAGAGTCCTTCATATGATTCCTGATACTTATACACCAGTCATAATGTTCATTATAAAATGTTTGTTCCAGCAAAGCACACTATCATTCAGGCAACATGGCAGCCTACAGAATGGGAAAAGATATTTATGAACTACACATCTGATTGAGGACTAACATCCAAAATATATAAAGAATTCAAGAAACTAGATATTTAGAAAACAAATAACCCAATTAAAAATGGGATACAGATCTAAACAAAAAATTCTTAATAGAGAAAACTCAAATGACTGAGAAACACTTAAAAAAATGTTCAACATCCTAAGCCATTGGGGAACTGCAAATCAAAACTATTCTGGGAGTTTCATCATACACTGGAAAGATGGCTCAGCCATTAAAGGCTAGGCTCACAACCAAAAATATATGAGATTTCACCTTACACCTATCAGAATGGCTAAGATCAATAACACAAGTGACAGCTCTTGCTGGCAAGGATATGGAACAAGGAGGACACTCCTACATTGCTGGTGGGAGTTCAAACTTGTATAGCCTTTATGGAAATCAGTTTTTGTTTTATCTCATTTTATTTTATTATTATCCCTTAGAAGCCTGTTTGTTTTCTAATAAAAGACAGAAAGGGTATGTATCCAGATGGAAGAGGAGGTGGGGAGTAGTAGAGGGAGGGGAAACTGTAATCAAGAAAAGTGAAAATAAAATCAATTTCCAATAAAAGAAAAAAATAATAAAATGTTTGCCCAGCTTACTGTTAGCCATAATTTGTAACTTAATGATGCTTTCTCTAGTTTTCTCTCTTTCTAAAATTCAAATCATGAGAATATACAGCAAAATTCCTTCCCAAGAAAATATTTTAATAAGCGGGTAGTTGATGCCACTTTTCATTCTCAACCAGAAGAGTTTATAATGATATGGTCCATGTTTTGGCTGTGTGTGTGTGTGTGTGTGTGTGTGTGTGTGTGTGTACAAACATGCATTTGAAGACCAAAGGTCTAACTTGTTCCTCACCTTGGTTTGGTTTTGTTTTCTGTGATACAGTCTCTCAATAAGACCTGGGACTCCATGATTAGGCTAGGCTGGCTGGTCACTAATGCCCAGGGGTTCTCCTTTCTCTGCCTTCTCTGGGATTATAAGGAAGGGTCACGGCACCCAGCTCTTTACATGGATAGTCTAACTCCAGTGCTCATGTCTGTGCAGCAAGCATTTTACCAACTCATTTATCTCCCAGGGCCCGGTAATTCCATTTTTAATGAGTGCATTTGTCATCATAGAAAACCAAGTGTTATTTTCTGGTTTCTCCACATTAAACAGGCCCCCTCCTCCTACAAGATTAAACAAACTGCAGCATTTCCCTTAGTGGATTCTGAAACACAGGAGGGATATCTTAAGTCAGCATAAAGAAAGAAGAGAAAAATTCACGAAAGTATTTGTTTTAAAAGACTAACTGCTTCGGGGTTGGAGAGATGGCTCAGCGGTTAAGAGCACTGACTGCTCTTCCAGAGATCCTGAGTTCAATTCCCAGTAACCACATGGTGGCTCACAACCATCTGTAATGAAATCTTTGTGTTCTCTTCTGGGATGAAGGCAGAACAGTGTATACATAACAAATAAATAAATCTTAAAAAAAAAAGACTAACTGCTTCAATACGAATTCATTAACTTGATTTATTTTACTTTTACACCAGCATTACCCACCATCTTGTAGCTCTTTCACCTACACTGATAGGAAAATCAGCAATATTTTTGTTTATTTTTCCAAATTATCACCATGGGATAGAACTTACTTCATGTCCTTCTCAGTTGTACAACTGAACGTTGATTATATAACTCAGGTATCTATACAGTATGTTCTTGGAAGGTACCAGCATACAAGCATTACATGATTATAGATTTTTTGATGATCTCACATCATGCCCTTCCCCATTAGCCCATTCTTACCCACTAACACAGTGATGACCTTATTGCTAGCATACTGTTCTATCTCTCGCAACCACTCAGGAAGGCAACGGAAGGATTCCTCACAGGTGATGTCATAGGTAAGGATCAAGGCATTGGCGCTGCGGTAATAACTTTGGGTGATTGAACGAAATCTCTCTTGACCCGCAGTGTCCCAGATCTGTAACTGTAGAGGCAGAAGACAGGGATCAGCTTGAAAGAGTAGGAAACAAAAGAGCATCACCTTGCTATAGCTCAGAAATGGGAACATCACCCAAACAATTTCATGGTTGTTTTCTGCCCTAAAGTGTTTCTGGTTTGGGTAAAGGGCTTATTCTCTTTCCTGGTTTTGTTTAGGAGTTCTCTTTGATCTTAAAAAAAAAAAAATCCACTGTCCATTTATAATATTGCAAGCTCTATTCTACTCATTTTATATGTAAAAGCAATTTTCACAATGATCCTATAAAATAGGTACTATTATAATGCACCACTTTCCTTATCAGGAAACTAAAGTACATAGAGATCTGTAATTGGTTCAAGTCTCATAGACAATTCAACACTCACTATGGACTCTGTGTTCTTTCACACACACACACACACACACACACACACACACACACACACACACACACAGCAACAGAGAGCAAGCTATTGCTCTGTGGTCATTGGCATTTCAGTCAACAACCGAAAGAAGGAAAGTACAATATCCCCAACTTTTCCAGTTTAAAATTCTAACATACATATCAAGACATTATCATTGATAATGGAAATAGGAATGATGCTATTACAGCCATGCCCTGCCACCATCACATTAAGCTCTATGACCTTAGCTCACTTTTGGACTCCACTTGTGTTAAAATGGGTTTTGATAAGTCATCTACTATTTCTAAACATAGCAAACTGATGGTTTAATAAGTAGGAAAAATACTTCCCAAATTTCTTCCCTCAACCTCTCTGCAGACACAACTCTTTATAGAGCAGAGTATTTGGGGAGATAAGAACATCACCATCAACTTCCCTCCTCACTATAAATCCCTAGGTCACAGGTAAATTAACCTTTACTGTTTCCTGAGGTAAGGCCTTCCAGAACCTTCTGCCACCACAGTTTCCCTTACAATACTTCATATTATTTTCCCCCAGAGCAATTGATATATCTTAATCATGTACTTGAAATAGTTTGTTTAATGCCTGTCTGGCCTACTTGATTTAAAAGTTCATACAGGAGGAAGCAGGACCTTGTTTTCCTCACCAAATACAGTACACCTGGGACAAACAGTAGATGCTTATGTTTTGAACTGATGGTCTCAATTGTTCCTTATCCCTTCCCAGTGAGGTAGGCAAGCTGAATGAAAATGCTTTCTTCCACCCAGATACCCACAAAGCTCGGAGTCAAACTCCAGGTCTTCTATTACCAGTTCAGAGCTGAGTTGAGCACACCCTGTTGCTTTTGCCATTGCAAGCTCATGTAAATGTACGTCTACATCCAGCAGTCACTTGGTGTCACCCTGGCCCCATAGTAATTTTGCTGAAGACACTGAGTAGTAACCAGTATCTCCTGCCACGAGCCAGTGCACACATTCTCCTTTGATTTGAAGTTGCATCAGCTCTTTGATGATATAAACTAAAGTCTGTGTGTGCTAAATGCAAACATACACATGACAGTTTGTGCTAGAACAAAAGCTGTTTCTCTTCTCTGCCTCAAAGTAGGGCCATGGTCCCCTTCTGCCAAGATGTGCCTTCGAATAGCAGACTATTGTTTTAAAGCCCCATTCAGCCTCTCAAACACTTTTGACTGGATTTGGGTACTATCAATCATTAGAAAATGCTATGTTCATGACTGGATATCTTGGGAACTACTTAAGCATCAAAATATTTTCTTAAGTAGTGATTTATGGCCTTGCTGAGATATATGCCACCGTCTCATAGAGTACTGCCTGTGTCTAGCCTAACAGTTGATTGTTAAGGATGATTATATTCCATCATCTATCACTCAAATTAGTTTCATCACCTTTCCCTATGATCCCTTGTCTCTTTTCATCCTTTGCAGAACCTTAGATGACTATAACACAAACCCTGATCTAAGAGATCATGGTCTACAAAGAACCCAAATCCACAACTGATTAGCAATGTCCTCTCAAAGAGGAACCAAAGAGCAGAGTGTCTCTAAATGTTAGTCTATCGTCTATCACTATGTCATTAACACTGCAGTCATAGATTTCCTTGCCACTCTCACCTAGAGCACAGGGCTACTACACTGCTCACCTGTTCTCTTACTGCACCGATATTGCCTGCCCATCACAGCAATGTCTTGTTTGCTAGGCTGTCCTTCTAAGTAGATTAAGTTCTTTGAGGACCACGGTTATCTCTTTGACTTCAAGCCTTTGTTTCCTTCCTACCACAGTTGAATGGTTAACAAGATGAACATAGGATTGTGAAATCACAAAGGAGGAATTGATTAGTTATTCTTAGAAGATTAGTGGAGCGGGCAGTGGTGACATACACCTTTAATCCCAGCACTCAGGAAGCAGAGACAAGCGGATCTCTGTGAGTTTGAGACCAGCCTGGTCTACAAGAATTAGTTCCAGGACAGCCTCCAAAGCAACCCCACAAACCTAAAAACAAAACCTTCTCAAAAAAAAAAAAAAAAAAAAAAAAAAAAAAAAAAAAAAAGAATTAGTGGGGTTTGAAATATCTGACAAAAATGTTCTCAGAGCTAGATATCAGTAAGTTCTAAAAGTCAGCAATGTTTCACCTACCATGGTGCTCTGCACAATGCATCTATTACAACACAAGATGGACAGACAGATGGATCATCAAAGAATGAACATTCATACCTATGTTCATGAATCTCCTATCTGTGTAACTCAGGTGATTAATGGTGAAACAACCTCTTGTGTCAGTTGGTGGTGGAGCAAGTCTTCAGTACAAGCACTCAGGAAGCACAGACAGCTGATCTCTGTGAGTTCAAGGCCAACCTGGTCTACAGAGCTAGTTCCAGGACAGCTCTGAAAAAAATCCCTATCTCGGGGGTTGGGGAGAACCTCTTCTAATCAATCTAAGGTTAAAAAACAGGCTTAACTTACATTTTTATCTATTACTCATTAATTTGTAATGGGTAAGATTGAATATCATCATTCTACATCTTTTTCTCCTTATGCATAGTTTTTATTTTTATTTCTTATTCTACATGTTGGGTTACAAATAAATCACAGGCATCTTGAACTGGACTGGCCAACTCCCATTTTTTTAAAAGATGTATTTATCTATCTATCTATCTATCTATCTATCTATCTATCTATCTATCTATTATCTATAGTGTCCTGCCTGCATGTGTCCCTGCAAGCCAGAACATGGCACTAGTTCTCATTTCAGGTAGTTGTCCAACCATCATGTGGTTGCTGGGAATTGAACTCAGGACCTCTGGAAGAGCAGTCAGTGCTTTTAACCACTGCGCTATCTCTCCATCCCCCAACTTCCATTTTTTTTAATGAAATTCTATAAGTCTAAAGAGGTGTTAATGGCAGCAATTGAGCTGTGGATTTAAGATGAGTAAGCTGAAAGACCTGCTTGTAATGATAAATCTTTCCAAGCCTCCTGAGCCCCGCCACCACATGGGTGCCCAAAATAACACACAGAGATTAATATTAGGTACAATGCTGCTGGCCAATGACTAATATTTCTTCTTATCTTCTAGCTCAGTCTTAATTATCAACCATAACTACTAAATCTATGTATTTTATAAGAACTTGTCTTATTGAGGACGCCGGCCGTATGTTCCCTCTCTTGCTGGCGATCACATGGCAACCACAGAGAAGAGAGGGAGAGGAAGAGAGCGATTTCCTGCTTGTCCCTGCTTATATTCTGAGTCTGTCGGCTATGTTACTTCCTGCCTGGATCACAAGACTTCTCTTTACTACATTTCCCAGAATCCTCCTCGACTTCTAGTCCCACCTAACATTTCCCTATTGGCCAACAACACTATATCAACCAATAAGACAAACATATACACAGAAGGACTTCCCCCCATCACCTGCTCTTGGGAAGCCTAGGGTCTTGTGTTGGACCCAATCCCCCACCCCCAAAAGATGGACTCTTATCCATGTAATAAGCACTTAAAAATGAGGTCAGGACTAGCAAAATGGCTCAGTGGTGAAGGGCCAAATTTGATCCCCACACTCCACATGGGAGAGAGAACTCTTAGAAGTTGTTCTTTGGCCTTCACATGCATGCTGTGCTCATAATACACACCTACATACACATACATACACTCAGAGATACAAATTAATAAAAACAAATATTTAAAATTGAGGCCAGTGTTTTCAAAAATAGAATAAACGGAATACCTAAACTTGAAATTCATGGATGGGAAAGACCCTGTACTGTAACCAGGGGACCATTCCTTATTTTCCCTTGCTCTTGGCCCAAGCTTGGTACATGATAGGCACTAACATTTCAGGTCAAACAAATGACCTCACAAATACATATGCAAATGAGAATTCATATCCAGGAGGGAAAGACATAAAAAGGTAGTTATCATTTCCTAATTCCTGAGGTTGGCAACTACCTTCTCTAGAATAAAAGAAAAATACAAAAGGTTCTTCTGCCAGTATCTCTTCAGCCTTCTCCTGTCCCTATCCCTCGCTCCTTCTCTTCATTTCAAATAGTTTTTTTTTCTTTTTTTTTTCTGGTTGGCATTTATGTAGATTTTTTTTATACCCAGTATCCCAGCTTTCTGTTCACCATTATACTTGCTATACATGTCTCTATGGTAAGGAACCATTTTAAAGAGCCAAGACATTAGGAGATAAAAAATGATTCCTGCCTCTCATCGGTAGTTTCATGTCAGCCTGTTTGTGATGGTATTTATGAACTGCTAAAAGAATGCCAGGGAGCTTCACTTACCCGTCCAAAGACAGTCATAAGACGTGAAGTAACAATTGATTGGGAGAAGGATGCAAATAACACAAACCAAATGTGGAATGCTTAGGTTGAGACTTGGCTACCATTCTAGTACCACTATCCATCATGCTACAGATGACTAGGATCTTTATAGGGATTTGACTCTGAAGATATGACCAAGAAGTTTCAGTAACTGAATGGCAGTGCTAATCATCAGTATCCTTACATCTTTCCATGTAATTTACTTTCACACTTTTAAAATGGTTTTTAAAAATATGTATGGTGAGTGTGTGTGTGTGTGTGTGTGTGTGTGTGTGTGTGTGTGTGTGTGTGTGTGTGTAGGCACATGTGCAGGTTAGTATAGGTGCCTGTAAGTGTAGGCCAAAAGAAAGTATTGGACAGTTGTGAGCAACATGGATGGGTGTTGGAAACCAAACTCAGGTCATATACAAGAGCAGTATGCACTCAACATGGATGGGTGTTGGAAACCAAACTCAGGTCATATACAAGAGCAGTATATGACCTCTAAGCCTTCTCTCAGCTCTTCACTTCAAACTTGCTTCCATCACCTCCTTTTCTTGCTGCAAGGTGATGGGTCTATTGTGCCTTCACTCCCCTCTTATCCCACAGGAGACCCCATGGAGTTAGAATACAGGTTAGCAAGTGAGGTTTGTTTGTCTCCCTTCCAGGCTATAGCCATGATTAAGTAAATTAATTAATTAAGTAACCTCTAAAGCTTATATGGTAAGGACAATACCATGTCCTTCCCAGAGATCATACTAAGAATTAAAATAACAATGGTAACATATGTAAAAGCATCAATCAGAGACACTAACTTATAATATGTACTCAATGAACATACTGTCTCCTGTTTCTGGACATACTCTACTTCTTCTAAGTACCAAGCTATCTAGAAACCACCAAGTGAAAGACAGAGTAGAAGTCAAAGGTCCTTTCTTGGACACAGTGGGAAAAAGGATAATTTTAATAAGCAATTCATGTGACTGAATTACCTACCCTCCCTACAAATGAAATGTGGGGATCAGGAGGCTTTGCCAAATAGAGCTTTGATTTAGAAGAGAAACATTATTGGTCCAATTTTGAAATATAAAAAGAAATCCTTACTTTGTTTTCACATCACTTCAGACATGACAGGGAAATGTGTTTGTTCCACTGTCTATAAACATATCATCCCTAAATTGCTTCTGTATATTTTTTTTCTTTTGGGACAGATTCTTGTGTAACCTAGGCTAGCCCACAATTTGCTAGGTTAAGGATGTCCTTGATTTTTCAATCACTCTACCTGACTCCTAGGTGGGATTATCTAGCTTTGTGTAGCTGGTGGCTTAATACAGAGCTTCCTACATACTAGACAGACACACAGACAAGAGCTCCACCCCACTGTATCATTTTCAATGTAATTTTGACTGAAGCAGTTTAATAAGTATTAAAAAAAAATGACTGCACTTACTTCCCTAAACACTTAGAGAACACATCAAAGGTTTACTATAAATTTAGCTTCTTACCTTTACCTTTTCACCATTAATCTCCACTGTCTTAATCATAAAATCAACTCCAATTGTGGCTCCTTGACCTGGGGGGAAAAGACCCTAAGGAAGAAATAATGGCAAGTAACATTTGAGCACATCTTCCAATTAAGTGGATTCTCCTCCCCACCCCACCCTTTGAGGGAACTAGTAGAAAACAGTACTTAGCGGCATGTTTGGAAGAAAGGAGAGGGGAAGAAAATGGAGAGAGAAATGCTGACAGAAGCAAACACAGAAAAGAATGACAAAGCAAGAGGCTGACTGTAAAGGAGAGAATATTGAAGGGGCAGTGAGAGGTGCTGGTTTCAAAACAGAAAACTCAGACAGGAGGATAAGAGTGGGGAGGAATGAGTCACCAGAATGACATCAGGACTGTTAGGATTCGGGAAGAAAAGGTGAGACTGGTTAAAACAAAGAGGGAATAAGGCGTGGAGAGTTCTGAGAGTGAGAGAAAGATATGGAGCTTTTGAGTTCTCTTGGGCCTCAGGACAGTCGCCAGCCTGCGGTCCACTGTACCACACACAAGTTCAGACACACACACACACACACACACACACACACAATTACACACAATCTGGACGGACTCACACAATTATACACAGTCCAGATGGACACATACACAATTATACAATTATACAATTATACACAGTCCAGATAGACAGACACACACACACACACACACACACTCACAATTACATATAGTCCAGATGGATACCTACACAACTACACAGTCCAGATAGACACACACAATTACATACAGTCCAGATGAACACACAATTATACACAGTCCAGATGAATGACTCTGGGAAAAGAAGTCCTTAGAAAGACAGCAGAGTAGAGGCAGCAGCACCAGAAGAGGAGGCAGTAGGTGACCCCAGACAAAACACTCCCCTTCTCTAGACCTCAAAATCATTGAGTTTGAGGTTGCTGTAAGCAAGAAATAGGAGAAAAGTACATTACCTTAAACTGGAAACATAAGATTCAAGACAATCAGGACATTAGCAAATTTGCACGTATAATGTAATTAACTTTTTTATATTTCCTGTAAGCTTAGGAGAGAGGGTTGAGGTAGCAAGGACTTCCATGAAGAAAAAGTCTTTACCTAGTCTCTTCCCTCTTCAGATTGCAGAATTCCAGGAATAAAGCAAAATGGACTTTATTAGCTCTTGCAGCTAAGACTGGGACATCTTTAATTAAATCCATTCCCTAACAAGAGAGTTCCTTAATTAAAGTTTGAACTCAGAACACTGAGCTTCAAACCAAAAGCAAAAGCTTCACTGCATATCTGCAAATGATATAAATATAAACTTGCATTATTTATAAATATTTAACCAATTTTCCTTTTTGACTTGGCTCAGACAGAAGACTGCCAAGCTTCGTTTATAGTTCCAGCTGTTTGCAGACTAACAAATGCACCACCCCCCACTTTGTTCCCCAAACCTTCCTATCTCAAAACCAGCTGAATCCAATTCATTGTAACTGCTTACTAAATAATAAAAACATACAAAATCCTGCCTATGAAATATGAAATATGAACTTTAGGGAAAGTTCAAGGGATAGAGATAAAAAGTAAATGGAAAAGAAAAATAAGAAAAAAATGCTGCTTGTTGGTAGATTTACTGATCAAAAATAAAAACACTTCCTTCCTTTTTTTTATTTTGGTTTTTCGAGAGAGGGTTTCTCTGTGTAGCTTTAGAGCCTAGCCTATCCTGGCACTTGCTCTGGAGACCAGGCTGGCCTCGAACTCACAGAGATCTATCTGCCTGCCTCTGCCTCCTGAGTGCTGGGATTAAAGGCGTGCTCCATCAACACCTGGCCAAACACTTCCATTTATGATTTTTAAGGAGAGTGGTTCCGAGGTTAGAGAAATACGGAAAGATCGCTGGACCAAAAAGCAGGACCTCAGGGCCCCAGTTTTGCCAGCTATATGCCTCAAGATCACAAGCATGTCACTGGGACCCTCTGGACCTGTACGAGGGGACTGGACTGAATAATCTCTAAGTGCCCTTCAGTAAAAAGACACCAAAAACCAAAAAAAAAAAAAAAAAAAAAAAAAAAAAAAAAAACCCAAAGAAACAAACCTTTCTCTATGGAAAATACGTGGGCATGTCCTCCTTACAGAAGCAAGAAAGACTGCTAAGGTTCGGTGGGTGTGAAACCAGCTGGAGTTTCCAGTATCTCTCTGTGATAGGTGACTGAACTCCAGGTGCTGGTTGGCTTTTTACTTTTGATTTCATCAGACCAAGACTGGGTGAACACATGAGCTCCTGTCTGCAGTCACTCAGCACGGGAGAAACCTTGACATTTCCAGCAACCATGAGCCCTAAAGCTGCTTGGGCTTCCCAATCTGCCGCTCCTGTTTTCCACAGACTCACAGGCTGCAGAGGATTTGGAGCTCACCAGCCTGTCACATGCAGTGGAGAGGCCTGGAGAGGGAAGGTGGGCACCAGGATCAAGAATAGCACCTGGTCACAAACCTTGAGTCAGGGCTCTTTCCCTGACACCAGGGCACCTTAAGCCTTAGAAGAGCCTGTCTCAATGTTCCCAAGGCACCTGTCACAAAAGCATGCTATATGCATGATGATCCAGAAAACGGCATCATTTGGGTTTCCAGTGGAAAACAAAATCAACTTGAGAATGGTTTTACACTAATTTCTGTACAAAAACAAATATATAACCTTGGCCAGTGATTCTCAAGAGGCCACCCATGGAGGGGACTCACACTTAGATCCTATGAGAAAGAACCAAATCAGAAAGAACATTCAGTTCCGTTTAGGTGAGTTACTGCCCTCAGTTTGTTCCTATTTAAGAGACTTAGACAAGCATACCGTTTGGTTATAAACCAAGGGAATTCACTGTGATTTTTGGATGAGAATGGCCATAGGCAGGAAAGCAGAGGTTTAATCTGTATTGGGTCTTTTCAAAAATGAATATTTGGACTCGATTTAATCCCTAGATTAGTTTGTTTCCACCTTTAGATGATTATGAGCTACAGATCTATTTTGTAAACAATTCTATTTTTGATACTACACACTGAAAACAAAACCACCTGCCCCTTTCTGTATGAGGAAGCAAGATGAGGTGTGGGAGAAGCCCTCAGCATCATCCTCCTCAGGCGTTTTAGAAAACCTTTGGCTTGCCGGGCGTTGGTGGTGCATGCCTTTAATCCCAGCACTCAGGAGGCAGAGGCAGATGGATCTCTGTGAGTTCGAGGCCAGCCTGGTCTCCAGAGAGAGTGCCAGGATAGGCTCCAAAGCTACACAGAGAAACCCTGTCCCGAAAAACCAAAAAAAAAAAAAAAAAAAAAAACCTTTGACTATAAACTTGATGGAGCTGTCAAAGGGTGGCTTAAGAACCCGAAGCTCAGGGGTTAGCACTAGATCCAATCACCCCTCCCAGCAGATCATTGCTATAAGAGAAGCGAGACAAACAAACCCAACCCTGGATTCCAGATTTCCCTTACCTGAGTGAATCGTCGGACTAGGCACGTCTTTCCCACTCCAGCGTTGCCAATTAAAACAATTTTGAACAGGAAATCATAATCTTCCATACTCATTTACACGGCTGCAAGCAAACACAGGCAACAGTGATTAAGGCCCGGCAGACTTCCCCAAGAGCTTAGGTTGCACCAGCCTCTACTCCACAGAAACAAGAGCTCTGATTCATTTGAAGAGCAGCTTAAGGCTCCTCTCTAGTGATGCTGCCAGTGAAAGAGGAACATTAGGTGTTTGGTCACAGATAGACTTCATTCTCCCTAGCTACCTTGTGCTGCACAAAATAAATGACACACATGCCCTTTCACCTGGTAACCTTTATTCCTCCAAGCTGTCAGGTCATAGGTCTTCAAGTGATAAACTGTGTTTTCTTTTTGTGTGGAAAGTCAGGCTAACCAGGAGTGCAGACAAGTAGGTAGAAAGGAGAGCCATCCAGAGGTTAAGACAGTTAGTAGGCTGTGTGAAGAAAATGATAGCTGCCAGGAGACCACATGAAAGGGAGGAAATTATAAATGGCCCTTCACTCTCATGCAAGTCCTAGGTTCTTGGGGATTCATACCATCAGGAAATCATTTTGCCTTTCCCATTTCTATCTACCTCCAATTTCTATCTCCTATCCCATTTCTTTCTACCTCCTACCAACCACGGTGGTGCTTACCATCCACCTCCAGTGGCTCCCATCTTCTAATTGCAAGGAGCAGTACTAAATCCTTTCCTCTACTGGGGATGTCCCCCTTCCGAATTTTTCTACAAGATCAGAGCCCAGTGCAAGCCACTCATTTTCTCTGAATCTTTCACTGGTCTTCCTCAAATGGGTGATAAAAATAAAGTGGTGACTTTTTCCCCATTTCTCCATAGCAGAACTTTACTTGCTATACATATTCATTTGTTCAAATGTCTGCCTTATCCTTGAGGAAAGGGACAATGTCTTCCAGCTCTGTTTCCTAGCCCTAAAGCAGAGTCACACTTAGTAAATGTCTACTCTGTAGACAGAATGACTTAATTAATAGGCATATTGCTTAGATGTGGACATCTGCTTCTCCAATTGTGCTAAGAATATTACCATTGAATAACTTAAGAGGGTCATCAAGATTAAAATCAAACAAACAAAACTGAAGTCTCCCATAGACCTTGGTACCCACCAAGCCCCATTCTTATGAAACGAATCATAATCTGAGCGCCTCCTGTGCCATTCCTCTATCACCTGGAGACATCTGCCCCAAGACCAACATGAGAAAGCGTAAATATCAGCATAAATATCAACTAGAAAGTAGAGTAACATCTAACACTCAGGAGGCTGAGGCTAGAGTTTGAAGCTAAACTGGGCAATAGAAGGAGACTATATCTCAAACAAAAACAAACAAAAGAAGTTAAGGAATAATTCTAGCTAACTGCTGAAGATCACTGTGTCTTAGGCAAAACAGGAATAGTCTCTGGAGGGAGAAGAAAAGGACAGTGAATCCTGGAGACAAGGTTCTTCAGAGGTTGGGGGAAGCATCAGGCTTACTACTACCAGGAGACCTAAATCTCATTAACAACGGATTGCAGGTAGAGAACCCAATGTGCTGAACCTGTCAAGTAAGGTGATTTGTATGTGGATTTCAACAGCCCTTGAAAGATGCAGACAAACAAATATGCAGGCAGATGCTCATAGGGTTCTGCCTCATGTCACTGGAACTGTGAAGGAAGAGCACTTCTCTCTGTGTGAGAATCTGAGCCCATATATAGTGGCTCCGATACCTATATGCCTTGTGCTATACTTAACTCTTTATGTATATTTCCTTATTTTCAATAGTCGATGAACGTAATATTGATTAATATTGAATGTAATTTGAGCAAACTGAGGTTGAGAGAAACCAAGGTTAGCACCAAATCCTAACTAAAAGGCATTAGTGATCAAAGAAATTCTAACTGTAAAAACCAAAGAGAACAGGGTTCAAATCCTGGCTGTTGTATTTTCTTTGTCTGTACCTTTGGGACATTAACAAAATGGAGCTCACAGCGCCGGTATCATTAAATTGTGGTGGCTGATAGAATCAGAAGTCTTAAGGACAGTACTTGGTCTTGGTAAAGCAAACTCCTTAAGCTCATTCACAAGTTTCCCATCATCTACTTTCCATCTCTATGGCTAGAGTCACATCTCACTACCTCCTCGCAACCCTTACAAGGTACACTGTTTTTTCCCCAGCTTCTGAAACACCACAGCTTTGCTTTTCTCCTCAAACCTTTCTGCCTAGAACAAGAGTCCATGGCCACCTGTCACCTCCCCCAACAGCTAGCTTTCACTTCTGCTTTAGATCTCAGCTGAAGCATCACATCCTTTAGTATGTTTCCCTGACCGGAGAGGGGGCCTGGGCCCCTCTGATTTCTACTTTCTTTCTTTCTTTTTTTTTATTTTTTTATTTTTTATTTTTATTTTTTATTTCTACTTTCTTTCTTTCTTTTTTTTTATTTTTTTATTTTTTATTTTTTTTTTGTTTCTTGTTTTTTGTTTTTTGTTTTTTCGAGACAGGCTTCTCTGTGTAGCTTTGGAGCCTATCCTGGCACTCGCTCGGGAGACCAGGCTGGCCTCGAACTCATAGAGCCCCCCCTGCCTCTGCCTCCCGAGTGCTGGGATTAAAGGTGTGCACCACCAATGCCTGGCTGATTTCTACTTTCTAATGCCTTCTTCCTCTTAGACAGTATTAGGCACCATAATCTACTTAACTATGTGTATCTACCTTCACTCCTCCACCACCCCTCAGCATCTCAATGCCACTTAAACACAAGAACTCACAATGTTTGCACACTGTGTCTGGCTAAACCATGGTCCTGTAATCAACACCATCATTACCATCATCTCACAATACTAATTACTTAACCTCACAACAGTCCTGCTGAATTTTTAACGTGGCAGATATGGAGACACAAGAAAAGTTAAAGAAGAAAAATAACATGATGTATTCCTAGATTTTGTTTCGTGGTCAATGGAAACTTAATACAAAAACTCTTCTATGGAGGAAGGGAATGGGAGATGAGAGAGGGGAAACTGCAGTTGTAATATAAAATAAGTAAATAAATTTTTAATAAAAAAAGTTTCTAAATCATAAAAAAAGAAAGCACTAAGTTTCTATAGTTCATAATTAGAGGAGCTAAGAATCTAATTCAACCTTGGCTCAGCTGTCCCAATAGTGACTTTCACCAGGCCTGGTGCACAGGAAGAGCTCAAGAAAGATGTGATGAATTGAACAACACAGGGTGGGCACTTTTTACACGAGTCTTCCCTTTTCAATTGCCCCCGCTAGTTTCAAATGCAAAAGCCTTTCTTATTGTATCATGCTACCTAAAACAGAATCAATACTAAGCTCTTGATAAATGTTAGGGAGATAGCATGCCAGTTAAAAACCTGCTGTTAAAACTGAAAAGAAGGCACCACACTGGTAATCCCAGAACTTGGGGAGGTGAAGGCAGGAAAAATAGCAAATTCAAGGCCAACCTGGTCTACACTGGGAATTCCAGGCTAGCTAGCCAGGACTACATACAGAGATACTGTCTCGAAAATAAAATTAAAAAGTGAAAAGAAAGTCAGTACTAAGCACAAGATGGCAGGGAAACCTGAAGCTGTGTGGACCAAGACTCATTGTCCCTTTCGTAAGTCAGAATCAGGAATTGTGGGACTGGGCAGCATCCTTTTCCTGGGCATAGATGGTTTGACACAGTTTTATTTCTAATTTTTGCCATATGTCAAAGAAACAGAAAGAAATCCAGAACAAAATGTCCAGATACAGAGATCTAAGAAACCAGGCTCTTAAAGAAGAGTTATCACTGCCCAAATTATACCTTTGATATGAAGGAAAGATAGAGGCCCAATCACAAACAACCTGGGCCCGCATGACTAACACCTGGACCAAACTACAAAACAAAAGATAATCTTTCTATAAGAAATTAACTTTAATACTTCCTTCGTTCAATGTTTTTGTGTAACTATATTTGAACCCAGAGTCTCCCACATGCTAATTACATGTTCTACCACCAAGCTACTCATGAACCCTGAACATTTTGTTAAAACAAATTTGGTCTCTGTACAACTGCAGGCTTTGTGTGGTTAAGATAGGACTATGCACTCCAGGTTACATGACAAGGTGGCTGTTCACTTTTAAGAGAAAACACATCACATCCGTGGGGAAGTCCTTCTGTTTGGGCCATAATGTAAACAGCCCAGACGTTGCCAATCACTGTGATGAGACAGTATCCCAGGAGGGGGCAACCGCAGAAAGAGATTAACCCAGTTCTACAGTGACAATAACACTCATACCTTGCTGATTGTTGCAAGCTGTGCTACTGACCAAGCATATTATAGGACTTTTCCATTCTGGTTACAGCAGTAATAATAGCTGACACTTGAGGCTTATTGTGTCCTGGGCCTTCTCCTACATGTACTTACTCACAGGGTACTCACAACAATGCTATGATGTAGGTACTCTTATCACCTATGAGCCATTGTGACTCAAAACAGAATATTGCCACCTCCAGCCTTGTGACTGACAATGTCACTGTCTGAAGTTCAGTTGAATAGTCCCCATGCCCTTTTAACACAGTAGTCTAGAAAGCTCTTGCTGCTAAAGCATCAAACCCATACTGATGGGTTTGCACACTGGTTGCAGGCCATCTGAGGCTGTTCACTATGTGGCCCCTCCCCCAGCACACTCTCTTTGGGGGCCAGACTTAGATCCCCTCAAATACCACTTCCATAACTCATTGTCATTCACCCATATAACTAAGTATCAGGCACAGAGGAATGGGGGAATAAACAGGAACATGAGGTGAACAAGCGAAATCCCAAATACTAAAATTACCACAGCAGTTCTAATCAAATGGATGTTTGTGAGATTCGAAAAGGAAATAGATGAGGAAAAAAGAGGAAGGAACTGTTTAAAGATACAGGAAATGAAATTGAGTATGTTTTTAAAAGCTTTAAAAAAAAAGAAAACTATCAAGATACAGGAAATGAAATTGAGTATGTTTTTAAAAGCTTTAAAAAAAAACTATCAAGAAAGAGAGAGAGAAAGAAAGAAAGAGAAAGAAAGAAAG